ATAGCTGAGGAGGACATGCTTTTATATACAGCGACAGATTTTCAGTTTTGTGTTAATTTTCAGAACATTACAAATCAGACAGAGTTGTTGAAACATTACAGTGTCACTATAATTCAAGAAGAATTTGTGATTTTACAGCAACATCCTTGAAAAGTTGTTACACTGAATGAACACTAAAGGTTTGTTAGGCATCTAAAGAAATATGCTATGTGAATGAATGGTCGTCTGTGCCTGGTAGCCCTGCCACAACGTCTGCATTCATGATAATATAATCTGGTGTTGGGTAACACTGCTGTGATCAGGGGCCCAGGAACAAGAGTGCCACAACGACCACCTCCAGCTTTCAGTGCCTTCTCTCTCTGCATTTCTTGTCAAAGGGACTTGTTTGGTGTCTCAGACTTTAGTGATTGAGTCAGGCGCGAGGTCATCCCCAAAATGGATCTCAGACAGTTGGTGTTGGTGTGATTATGACACTGGACAAACAGACACAACATGCTTATTTTTGCACTCAGCTACAAGATGTGCCTTTGCTGCTTTGTGAGTGTTGGATGTAGGCTCCTACAGAGGAAACATGGTGATATTTTCGCATTTCTTTTTGGGTTGAGGTGCTGCTGGTGCACCTCTGACTGCCCATGGTGCTTGTTTACTTGTGCTTTAGGTTTGTTTGTCCTAAGGTAATTACAGAGCTGCCTAAGAAAGTCTTCGGGAAGTTTTCATTTTATCAGTGTTGTCCTTCAAGTTCATAAGCTCTCTGACTTCCTCCCTTTCTGTCCTGTCCCTGTCACTCCTCTCTTTCTTGTCTTCTTCCATCTCCCTCATCTGCGTGCTTGTGTGTGTTTCTGTGTGTGTACATGTTGTCTCTTCTCTATATGTGTGTATGCTTTCTGCTCCCAGCCCCTCTGCGGAAAGCAAAGTTTGTGGAGAGCCCTCGCATTCCACAATCAGAGCTTGGCTCCCCTACACACACCTCCACCACTGCCAAGAATCCAGACCTGGACACATACTGCCCTGGTAAGTGTTCAGCCAGCTCATCCCTCATTTTGTTGTGTTATTTTTTTTTTATTTTTTTTTTACATTGGTTCAGAGACACACAGTGAGAGATGAGGAGAATTTATCAGTTATTCTGCCTGCTGCTGTAAACATTAAAACATTGCTAAGATCATTAATGAAATAGCTTTGCTGGTGCCCACAATGCCGATCCTCATTGCCTCTTCCTTTTCTGTCTCTCTCATCCTCCTCCTTCTCAGACACAGATCTTGTTTAGGTGCTGCTGCTGTTGTCTGTTAATTTGCTCTGTAATCCGGTGGACAGTCCATATTTCCCTCTGCTTTCTTTATCTCTTCTTGTCAACCTCTGTCACTCCTCGCACAGAGGAGAGGACAGTAAAGCGGGTCACTCTAGGATAGCACGAGATTTGGTTCTACTATCTCTCCTCTCCTCTTCCTGGTGCCACTGAGAAACCCAGTGTTAGCTCCCCAACTTATCTTGTTGGACAGATTGGTGGCTTTGTGGACTTCTCAACACAACAGGGCAATGCTGCAGCACCCCAGGGCTGGATGAAGACATGGGAGAATAGTTGTTGGGGTTTTCAAGGCTTAACTGGAGTAATTTAAAAGCAAAATGGTTGACAGAGTGCTACCGGCCTTCTCCATCTGTCAGCCGCTGCTGCTGAGCCTGTGCTCAATAGGAGCTCTAAGATGATGCATACTAGAATATACTGTATATATTATATTTTATAGTATTTCTTTTTTCTGTATCAGTCTGAATACTATGTAGTTCCTTCCTGTTGAAGCTCATGGATGGTAAAGCAGGTGGCCCCAGCTTTATTTTGCATCAGTCCTGTGAAATAGACTGTGGAATAAGCTATCACTTGTGATGAGCTGCTAAGAGTTCCTGCAGATGTGACATTTCAGGCTTGAAATGGTAATCTCTTCTGTCACTGAGGCAGCAAAACATTTGATTACAAACAGGAATTTTCAGTTTGTGCAATGACAACTTGGGCTGAAGAGAAACCGGGAGGGCTGAGATGAGTTTTCAGGAGTGACGACTTGCAGGTGAACACATAGACACCTTAGCTCTTAACAAGGGCGGCTTGGCATGAGTAGTAGCAGGAAGGAAGTCAGCTGATTTTAATGGCTGGAAAAGATGTTTGTGGTGTCATAAATATGGTTAGTAAATATTTTGTGAGACCACTTGTAAACTTCACCATCAGCCCATTATAGGGTAAAAGCTTTTCCAATGATGTTGTAGTGTGACTTTCTTACAGTAATTACATAAAATCCTCTGCCATGGTGTATGTCATTTTATGCTGTGATAGTGATATTTAGTTAGCTTAGAGTTAGACTCCAACCGAAATCACTTGTAGTTATCCCCTGTGCAGTCAAAATAATGTTATTGTCATTTAAGATGCATTACTGGCAGTTTTATTATTATTATTATTAAAAGCAAGTCAAGTGGAAAAGCACCTCAGCGCCATCACGTTTACCCTGATCTAGGTAACCCTGGAACCGCTTCAAATTATTATGAAAAGGAAAACAAACATCCCCGAGGAAATGCCAGCTGCTGGGGGCCGTGATGTTTGATTGGCAGAAGCAGCTATCTTTGGTGTTAAGCAGCTGCCAAGGAGAGAGGAAAAAGTGTCCTGCACTGTAGCTTACAAGACATTTCAGGTTTTTGCAAGGAGTGGTTTTGAAGAGCGAGGACCGCAACATCATCTTATCAGCCCAAAGTGACATTTACAGATGTGTTTACATGCTGTTTAATGCATCATTTGATTTATGGAAACAAGCTCTCTATTTACAGTATGTCTGAAATAATCTAAAGTGAGGGGACCCTATAATGACACCCAAAAATTATAGTAGCTACTGTATATACACTGATCAGCCACAACATTAAAACCACTTGCCTAATACTGTGTAGGCCCCCCTCATGGCACCAAGATGTCAACAGCAGATCTTTAAAGTCCTGTAGGTTGTGAGGAGGGGCCTCCATCCATTGCACTTGTTTTTCCAGCACATCACACAGATGCTCAACCGGATTTAGATCTGGGGAATTTGGAGGCCAAGGCAGCACCTTGGGGCGGCATGGGGGCATGGTGGTTAGCACCGGCACATCATGCGGAGTCTGCATGTTCTCACTGTGCCTGTGTGGGTTCTCTCCGGGTACTCCGGCCTCCTTCCCCAATCCAAAGACATGCAGCTTAAGTTGACTGGTGACTCTAAATTGCCCATAGGAGTGTGAGTGTGTGTGGTTGTTTGTCTATATGTCAGGCCTGTGATTGACTGGTGACTTGTCCAGGTTGGACCCCGCCTCTCGCCCAATGTCAGCTGGGATTGACTCCAGCCTCCCCATAACCCTCTTTAGGATAAGCAGTATAGATAATGGATGGATGAATGGAGGCGACACCTTGAGCTATGTCATGTTCCTCAAACCATTCCTGATGTTTTTGCAGTTGGAGGGCCACATTATCCTGCTGGAAGAGGCCACTCCCATCAGGGAATACTGCTGCTATGAAGGGATGGACTTGGTCTGCAACAATGGTTACAAGATGTTGTCTGGTCATCACAATTTGGCTCTTGTCAAAGTCGCTCAGATCCTTCAAGAAGCTGACTGTTCACTTGCTGCCTGAAATACCCCACACACTGACAGGTGCCACTGTACCAAGATCATCAATGGCATTCACGTCACCTGCCAGTGGTTTTAACATTGTGTGTGATCAGTGTGAAATACTATAGCAGATGAACAGGCAACTGAATTTCAGCTGGACTTGGACTCAAAGTGCAGGATACACACCATACTATTAAAACCATCATATAAATAAAACATATTTAAATACACAAAATACCATACATTTTAAAGATAAACTTAGAGAAAACATAAAATAAAATAGAATTGCCCATTAAAGTGGTACAGGACTATTCAGGAGTTATGATGCAACATTTTCTGAAATCCTCTGAAAAATCAGTTGAAAAATAGTTTATAAGATGTTTTTGGCTAATCTAGCAAATACAAGCTCTGCCGATGGCCTCGTGCTGTGTGCACATACTGTATATCACCTGGTGTCCTGAGTCCCAGCGTGCCTTTTGTTTGAAAAACATATGTGATTGTATAGATAAGATCACTAGTGTG